AAAGAACAACAGATTATCCATTTTTCATTTATTGAATAAAAAACCAAAGAAGAACTTTTGCCATTTTTATTTTTTATTTTTTTAATACCAACTAAAAAATAAAGCCCCTAAAAAATCGAAAAAACAAGTTAAAACAATTTTGTTTTATTCAAACATTAAATTAGAATTGCCATCAAGAAGTTTTTTTTTAATTTTCTGAAACCATTATTCAATAAAAATCAACCCTTGTCTTTTTAACTTTGTTTTAAAGAGCCCTGAATATTTCAAAAACTTATACATAAAAAATAATTGTTTCTATTTTATCATTTTTATATTTAAAAAACTAAATATAATTAATAATATTCAAATATAACATTTACTGAAACATTTTTAATAACATAGTTAAAAAATTATATTATATTTTTATGGGTGTAGTGTTGAGCAGAAGCAGCAATTTAAAATAGAAATATAAATGTAAATAATCTTGGTTATTTGTTCACATTCTAATATAACTTTTTAGTATTAATATTATGTTTTATTGAAGTTAAATAATATAAATAATCGGGAAATAAAAAACGAAAATGTTAACTTTACTTTTATAATAATAAATCATATAGTGACAGAGCAAAAAAACAAATATTGCCGTTCTAACATTTGTACACATTTAAAAACGTTTTTATTTAAAATATCTAATTATTTAATCGGTTGGAATTAAACAACAATTCTAATATCTATAATTAATATAAAATATACTTTATAAATATCGTTAATACATCTTAATGAAATAAGATAAAACAAAAATAAGATATACAAACTTACAATAAATAATTATTATAAATTCGTCATCATAACGAATTTTGTTATCGTTATGTTGTGTATTTTGTATAATAAAAATTGTTATACATTATATTTAAAACAAACACACGAAATCTATTTTTTAATGTCACATTTTAAAATATTATTTTGAACCGAACTTAATATTATTAAATGAAAAATCCTCGTAATGATCAACTTGATTTAAAGATTATTTTACAAGACAAAATAAAATCACTTCCAAAAACCCTTCGATTGAAAGCGAGACTTTTATTACAACGAAAAAAACGAAATTTTATTCAAAGACAATGGACGACAAACAAACAACGTCAAATGATTTAAATGTTGTTAAAAATACAACATTAATTTATGTAATCAACAAATTAAAGGATATATCTGATACAATAACAAGAAATACAACAACCAAAGAAATAACAGAATCAACCCGAGTTGAAATAGATGGATGTTGTTTTTCACTTTTTAACGCCAAAAACACTGGAAAAGAAAGAAAAACATTTTTATTTTTATGTATGTATAGAGAACAATATAAATGCAACTCGAAAATAATTGTAACTTTCAACACATACACAAGTGGTATAGTGGATAAAATAGAATTATATAATGATCATTCTCATCCCATAACTATCAAACCAAACAAAATTATTCGAAATAGAATGAGTGAGACATCCAAACAAATTGTTGCTAAAGATATTGAAGATAACATTCCTCTAAAAATAACAGAATCCAAATTGCAAGAAAAATACCCCAAAAGAGTTTTTTACAATCAAAGACGTCAATTTAATGGATTACTTCAAAAAGACCAATGCAACAAACTTTCAGAATACATCAAAACAATCCAATATTTTGACACTCTTTTTGTTAACAATGCTTCTGATGTATTCGATGAATGTTTCTTTTTCAATAATTCGCTTCGAGTTGATCTTTGCCAAAATTGTGTTTTTCTTGACGACACATTTTGTACTAATCATTGTCAATTGCCTATAATATCAGCTTTGTGTAAAGACGTTAATAATCATACACAAGTTATCGCTTTTGGATTTATTAGGCACCGTTTTACTTCGTATTATACTGATTTTTTATCTTTTATCAGATGTCGTCATTCAAATATTGAATGTTTTATTGTCGATAGATCAGCAGCAGAATCTTCTGCCATTCAAAACGTTTTCCAGGTGTAAAATTGTGTATTGTTATAGACATATTCGTCGCAATATAATTATCGCGTTTGGAAAACACTCAGAAATGTTGAAACGTTATGAAAAGCAAATTCGTAGTGAAATCAACAGTGTTGATTTTTTGAATTATATTTCTCTTTACAAATATGAAGATTCTGAAATAAAACTTAAAGGTAAATTGGTCGAAAACATTGAGTTATTTAAAGAATTTATTGATTATTGTGAAACTGGTAAACAACATTCAACAACTACTATTATGGCATTAGAAAAAAAAAGAAATTTCTTCAACAACTTGAAGCAACAAAATTTAGTTGGTTACCTGAATTTACTGGTAAAATGACTTCCGATTTAACAAACAATGTTGTTGAAGGATTTTTTGGCACCATTAAAAGTCAAACAGAAGGAAGAAAGGTAACACTTATAAAAATAACAGAAATTTTCATCAATAAAGCCAACAAGTTCGCAAATTCGTTCTCAACGAAGTTTAATGATGAACAAATTGATATCATTGAAAGACTTATTGGTCTACAAAATGTTCAATATATTCAACATGAGTGGTTAATAAGATTGATTCAATATTACAAATTTATTCCTGCTATCTCTCCAATACCTGGAAGCAGTGTGTTTAGTTGTTCATGTCCGGATTTTCAAAATTTCGGACTTGTTTTTCCGTGTTGCCACCAACTTTATTGGCATCTTTATGATAAGTTTCTATCATAGAGACATCCTTTGTTTAATATGACAGACTTTGGGAGAAAAGTGCTTGTTCCAAGTTTGAAAGTTGCCAAACATGAGTATCTAAAAAGAACGCTTGATGAGCATGTTGATAATTGGACACGAAAAGAACACGTTGTTGTATTTGACGAAATAATTGATACAATACTTCATACTCCGGCTATCAAAAAACAGTGGGTTAATATAGTTGCAGATGTTTATAAAACAAATAATACAAGTGATTCAAAAACAAGAAAACAAGAAAAAGTGATTCTGAATCGTGAACATATGTTTTCCAAAGATCCGCCATTGATTCAGACAACAAAGGTCAAACCTTCAAAACTGGTCGAAAAAGTTGAAAACCCTGATAGTGTCAAAATAAATGGTATTAAACAATATAGAAAAAAGAAGAAAAACCAAAAAATGTAAAATTTGTGGAATCGATGGTCATATGGCAAAAACTTGCTTGTGTTGGGATGATCCAAAATATTGTGTTCAACTTGTTGATTTCTTTAAATCATTAAACAATGAAACCAAAACGACTTTTAGAATCAAACATCAAGGAATTGACGACACACTAAATTAGAAAATGTGTTTTATTTGAATCAAAGTTGTTTAAAGTTGTTTTAATTATAATATCATAAATTGTATAATTCTGTATTTTTAAATGATAAAACGTTTAATAACAATCAAGTCTCTTATGACGTTTTTTACAACACATTATAATTTGAGTATAAAATAGTATTTAAAATAAAAACGTTTTTAAATGTGTACAAATGTTAGAACGGCAATATTTGTTTTTTTTGCTCTGTCACTATATGATTTATTATTATAAAAGTAAAGTTAACATTTTCGTTTTTTATTTCCCGATTATTTATATTATTTAACTTCAATAAAACATAATATTAATACTAAAAAGTTATATTAGAATGTGAACAAATAACCAAGATTATTTACATTTATATTTCTATTTTAAATTGCTGCTTCTGCTCAACACTACCATCCTATTTTTATTACACAAAAAACATTTAAAAAAATAAACAATACTTTTCATGATTATTATTAATCGAAAAAACTTGTTCATAAATTCAAATGAAGTACATAAAAATGATTTTATTTGGTATTTCTTGGACAAACTTATAAATACCCAGAAATTTGAAATAATTGCCAAATTAAATTTATAAGCTTTTAGAGACACCCCATTAAATAAAACGTGAAACTTTTTTGTAAATGTGAATATCCACTAAAACAAAATTCTCAAAATGAAATAACTTATTGGTATACCAATTGTACTCAGACAACAACAAAAATCGAAACTTGATTATGAATAACTTTTTAAATTAAAAGGAAGGAAATGAGCAACAAAAAAAAACATTTCCTAAAACATCTTTCTCTGAACAATACTATTAAATCATGTTATTTATTTAAACAAATGCATTGCACCCATAAAACAACTTAATATTAGTGTATCAACAATACCTTCAAAAACAACAGACGTTAAACATTTGCATACCCAAAAGGTGCATTTGTATAATAAACATTGACAGTTCCACATTTCAAGTGTTTTTGAAAGCATCACATTTTTTATGAACAACAATTTTCATTAAATAAATACATTTATGAAATGTGATACTTTTAAAAATTATTCAAAATAGTAACAGTTGGAAATTAATTACAAAACGCTATTTGAATTATTATAATTATTAAACTCGAAATAATTTTTGATTATTGTGACCAAGTTATTAAATTTATTTTAGGTGTTGTTTTGAACTTTTCTAGACAATTTTTTACATGAACATTGAAAAAATAAATGAATTACAAATTATGTGTAACATACAAATTATAATTCACTTCAAATCAAATGTTAATTTCAACCAAATAGAATCTTACTTTGTCATCTATTTTAAGTCAAAATGACATATAAATCAATATAAGAAATTGCTACTTGATTATTATTTTTTCAATATAAAATGAAACACATAATTTTTAATCAGTTGAATTAAGTGATACATTAAGTCTTTATTATCATTAAACATTTATTTTCGAGTCTTCAAAATTGTCTACTTTATCCAGACTTAGTGTTCCAATTAAATTTTCTTTCATCTGATTTCGTTTTACAGTCTCTTTTATTTGCACTGGAGATGGTCCTTTCGAGTCATTGGTGAGTATAACTACTTCTTGTTTTTCGCTTGAAGAAGTTGAGTTTTCATTACTTATTTGGGATGCTGTTGTTGGAGTACTTGGTTCTTTCTTTTGAGTCAGTTTTAGCAATTCTTCTGAACAACCAGATTGCTGTACAATTCAGTTAAATTTTGATTTTTCGTCTTGTATCAAATTGTATGGAGTTTCCATTTCTTTTAACATTCCATTATCAAATACCATTACTCTGTCTGCGTCCATGATAGTTTGTAATCGATGTGCAACAGTAATCACGGTTACATCGTTAAAGTTTGTTCTGATCATTTCTTGAATATTTTTATCTGTTTGAATGTCGATATTTGCAGTTGCTTCATCCATAATCAGTAATTTAGAACCATTCAAAAGTGCTCTCGCCAAACATAATAATTGTCTTTGACCCAAAGAAAAATTATCCCCTCCTTCTGCCACTCGATCATGAAGTCCATTTGTACATTCAACTCTATTTAACACGTTCTTTAATTTTTCGTCTGTCATTTCGTATCTTGGATCTAAATTGTATTTTAAAGACCCACTAAACAAAGTAGCTTCTTGTGGTAAAATACAAATTTGTTTTCGTAATATATCAAGTGGAATTGTTGAAATGTCGATTCCATCAATTTTTATTTGACCAGAGTAAGCTTCCTCAATTCGTAGGATTCCTGCCATCAGAGTAGATTTTCCGCTCCCTGTACGTCCCGCAATTCCAATTTTTTCTTTTGACTCTATTTTTGCATTTATACCTTTTAATTTCATTGGAAGTCCTCGTCGATATTTAAATTTGAAATCGATAAATTCAACGGAACCAGTTGAAGGCCATGTTTTTGGTGGTATAACATAATTAGCTTTAATACTTTCAGATTCTTCTTCTCTTAATTTGTTTAATTGAAGGACTCTTTCAGTGGATTGCATATCAGTCTCTATGCCAATGATGGCTCTTGAAAACACACCAATAGTATTTGGAATATTACAAATGTTTGTTAACGCGGTTCCAGCTATAGAAGCGTCCATTGTGCGTTGTATTTTAGTTACAACCAGTACTCCAACAGTAACAAAGCAAATAAATACACTCAAAAAGTCCATTCTTTGACTGAAATACAATTTCGCCATTTTAGTAAGATATAAAGTAGTTGTGTTATTCTTCATTTTTTCTACTAATTTATTTTTAAAATGGTCTTGACCATTTGCTGACCGAATAGTTGAAAGTCCGAGGAGAGTTTGGTCGTAATGCACAAAAATGGGAGCTCTTGTAATGCCTTCAAGTCTTTGTAATTCAATAATTGATTTAGAGACAAAGAGATATATAAATATGAAAATGATGACGATCACCAACACTAAACTATTAAATAAAATGATGCTTTACAAATGGTTATAGAAACAATTACTACATTTGTAATATTTACCATTAACATCTTGCACGTCTGTGGAATTGAGTAATCAATGTTTTGAAAATCACTTGAAAAATAGTTCACAATTCTTCCCATTGGTGTCACATCGAAAAACCCCAATTTGCATTTCATTAATTTGTGAACCAATTTCTTGTGAAGGCCAAGTGATACAAAAACACAGAAAAGAATATTGACTTCTTCACTGATAAATATACTCCCAATATCTCCTACAAATGAATAACAAAAAATTTTAAACACTCGAGTGTCACCTTGTTGAGATTCGTTGTTGGTTTCAATCGATTTTCCCCACAACGTTAAGTAACTGTTGTAATAATAAAGTGCACAAATTCTACCAGCTAAACACAGCCACATAAGTACAAACATCATGTAAGATCCAGACTTTATATATTGCCAATACACATTCATTGGTACTTTTCCAACTTCTCTTTTCTCTTCTCTGATTTTTGTGCAAGATGCATCAGAAGTGATAATTTCTTCGTTTTCAAACTCTTCTTTCTCAACTTTTTGACTTAAAGTCTTTACAAATTCAGAAGCTGGAATGTTCGACTTTTTGAGCTCTTTTAAAGAACCATTGAACACCAAATGGTTTTTCTCTATTACCAGAATTCTGTCTGCCTTTTCTAAAAAGTAGGTCTGATTTGTAATTACTATCCTGGTCTTTTCGCTTAAGTGTTTTTGAATGGCATTTTCAAATATGTGTGTCCCAACTTTGGGTTTAGGAAAACTGGCCACAGTAAAAACTGGCCACGTAGAAAACTGGCCACAATATTCAATAAAAGTTCAATAACAATTCAACGTTTTATTCAAAAACAAAACCAATATAAAATTAAATTTGTATTATTTTTTGGCTCTTTTAAGTTCCTTGAATATTTTGCTTTTTCTTAATGGTCTAGATCCTTCTCTTGTTTTCTTTTTGTGGATAGGTTTTGTTTTTTCAGTTGTTGAATTACATTCATCTTCGTTTATAACATATTTTACTGCGCTTTTTTCTTCGAAATCTATTTCAACAACTTTTTCCAAATTGTGTTCGGCTTTATTATCCATGTTTGCTTCAGCTTCGAGCCTTTCTACAAGGTCGTTTTCTCTTAATGTTTCTTCAATAAGAGTATCAATATCACAATCGAGAAGTGTATGCATTTTCGAAGCACCAATAATAACAGATACTTTTTCAAGAAACTCAAGTCGATCCATTCCATTCATCAATTCAGTTGTCAGTTGTTTTATTGTTATGTTTTTCATTGCAACAACACGCTTTTTCCTTGTTAATTGCAAATTTGTCGTCAACGAAAAATAATGAATGTCAACACGTTTTATATATTCTTTTAAATAGTCAACAAATTTGTGTATATTAGGTGTTTTTGTTAATACTAACCTATTTAAAGAACTGTGAAAACTTTCTGCATTATTGTTTGTTCGTTCTTCAATACCAAATAAACACCAATTGTCAACTTTAAAAACGCCGTTTATGTAATAATTTTCAAAGTGTTTATAAAAAACACAAATGTCGGCGTCATCTTTATAAATTTCTTTTAATTCATAAAATGTTGTGTATATCATACTAACCGGCATAAACGGTAAAGACATCAATTTTCTGATTGCACTTTTAAACTCGTCTCCATTTTTATAACGGTGTTTAAATCCACAATAAGGAACTTTCCGAAATATATTCTGGCAATAATGAAAGTGACAACACTTTACTTTGACTTGTTTAGGAAACAAATTATTAATAAAACACTACTCAAAATCTCCCATAACAATCATTTCTCTGTTTAAATAATCACTACCAACAACATTTTTTATAAATTAAAAAAGTTATTATATACTTCATATTTTTTCCTTTAAGACACCCAAAAACAATCGGAAAACATTCACCACTCACAAGCCCGTGTATAGTATATAATTGATAAAAAAGAGCTATTTGTTATTGTATTATATTATTATAATAAATTTAACTAAACAAACACGGACATGATCTATATGTGCCATCAAAAAATAAAACTGGAGAAGTTTTTAACAACTCAACATAATCTTGTTTTCCAAAAATTATCATATCATCATCTTGATATAATACAATTTCTTTTTCTATTTCGGAAAATTCTAGGTCTTGTGTTTTGGTTACAGAGTATGGCTGTTTTTCCTTTCTGACTTGTTTTTCACAGACAGAAATTCTTCGAGTTGTTCCTTGAATGTATTGCTCTACTAAAGGGGTGGAAAAAAACCTCTTCAGGAAAAAAACCGCTTTTGATAATTTTTGGTGAATAATGGTAAAATGTTTTCTAAATGTTATTTGATTTTATTTTTTTCATTTAAACAAAAAGAAAAAAAACATCATTTACATTTTGCCAGAGCATTTTTTCGAAGTATTTAGAAGAAGGCTGTTAAAGTCTATTTATATTACAGTGAAAAGCTGAGTTATTACAGAATTTATTTGAAAGAAAACGGGAAACAGCTTACAATAGTAAGACATATAACCAAATAGACATAAATTTTAAATTAATTTTATTATAATATAATAGTGTAGTAAACGCAGTGTTTGTTAGTCTTATATCGTTTGAATTAACAAACCAAATTATCATCTTTGCAGTCTGCCTCATCATCTTTCTTATTTTCAAAGTAATTTAAATTAAGTCTTTTTGCCATTGTTGTTTTTGGGCTTTATTTTGTCTTCATAAACACATGAGTTCAAGTCTAAGTTGTCACTGTCGTGGTTTTGATGTTGTTAAACATAATAAACAAACTGTTTGACCTTGCAATGAACGAGATAATTTGATATCGTCGCTTTTGGAGATCTCCTTATAAACCCTTATAATTGGTAAAAAAAGAACTTCCTTTTTTTTCTAGATCATGTTTGCGATAAAACAATACCAAGTATGTAAATTTTGATTATTAGTAAAGTTAGTGAATAATGTAATAATTTTGCTTGGATATTGTCAAATGAAAAATAATTTTGTTTTTAAATGTTTAATATGTTTTCAATCTATGATTTATATTATAATTAATGACATTGCGAAAGATTAAAATAGAATTGTTTTAAATAATAAATTAACTATTTATTATTATAATTTAACCATTTCTGCACCTAAAAATTACTAATAAAATTAATAAATTTACTATTAAATAATTATAAAAATCATAATTATCAGTTTACTTATGCTCAAATCCGAATAGAATGATCATGAATTGATTCATTTGACACAACTTATCGAAGCCGTGGTTGTCGTTGTGTATCTCTTTTGAACTATACAAGTGTTGAGTAGTTTTCATTACTTTTCAGACCCACCATTTGATTCAATTTTTGAAACAAGTTATAGTATAAATTATAATTAATTTATTAATATTTATAGTTATTTTGTTTATCTTTATAAAAGTATGTGCTGAAATCCCAAAATGTTACATATATTTACTGTAATAAAATGAACAATATAGTCCATCAAATAGTAAGAAAGTTGTTGATAATCATTTTTTTGTAATTAGTGGATGAAGGTATAAAAACACATTTTAGATGAACAACACATCAACTTTCACTTTGGCACCATGTCTTCTCAATAACGTATTTAGCTGATAACAGTCAATGTCTCCATGATGTTTTCAACAATTTTTGTTGAAATGCACTTTTGAGCAAGCATTTTGGCTGGCTGGAAAAACCGCTTCACTACCATTTACTTGTTTTATTGTATAGAAAAATAACGTTTTTTGGCATTTTGCCGATTTTTAAAATAAAAAATAATACGGTGGCGAAAAACCGCTTTAAATCTTTTTTTGTCTTTTCTAAACCAAATTCTTATTGTTTTATGATAAAAACTTATCCAATAACCAAATATTGCCTTTTTAAATTGTGAAAAAATAGTGTGTTTTTTCTCGGCATACAAATATTTTTTAACCAAAAATATTGAATAACATACAAAAACACACAATAAATTTGAATTGATTCACCATACAGAAATTATTGCCACACTTTCGGATCGTCCACAGTATCCTCCCAGTCTTTTTTAACATTTCTCTGCACGGCGGGAAAAACCGCTTTACTACCATTTAATGATAAAATTCCACACAATTATAACCAAAGTTTCAATTTGCCTCAAATAATTGAGGTTTTGGTGAAAAAAAGCTAAAAACACGAGAAATTATAACGGACATGTGCAGCGCCCTTTTACCACTTCTAATAATTTACACAAAATTATCCGTCTTACATTGTTTTTATTGACCAATATTAAAAAATTGCTTCGTTTATTTTATAAAAAGTTTCAAAAAAGCAAGTACAACGAAACAACGAGTCATTTATCGCTTGCTTGACAGGCACTTGAAAAACCGCTGAGAATGGATGCACTCACGTTCGGTTGGTGAGTAAGTCAAGTGCGTTTTTTCAGTTTGACAGTAAAATGCATTTTTGAGCGAATGAGGAATCCAACAAGAGGGGGTGTGAAATAAAGGTGCAGTCTGTCTTTGCTGAGAGACATTGAAAAGTGGTCTATTAAAAACGTGTGCTAGGTTATATATTTACTGTGTTGCTCGAGAGGTAATAGATTTGACTGTTGAGTATTTGTTTAACGGATGATTAAAAAAATGAAAAAAAATATAAAGGAGTGAAAAGGGTGTGAAAAA